CTGTAGCTGCAAGGCAAGATTAACGGCCGTTGTCTCTCGCTGTGTGGACGATACCATTGAGATTGTTGTTCGGAACGAGGTATGTGACGAAAGCGTGCTCATTATCTGTTTGATTCTTTAACTTTTGTTTGACTTTGTAGAACCACACGCACTCACACCTAACTACCGGCACGGAGGTCTCTTCCTACCTCACGACCAAGACTCTACCGCTCGATGACCGCGATCGCGAGGATGTTAAGACCTTGGCTGACGCCCGTGTGTCGTCCTCCCACATCACCCGCTTTTTAAATGATCGCCTTGGTACGTGATGTAGCTATTTACGTGATGTAACTTCTTTAATTTTTTGCTTACATTATGTCAACTTCTTCTTAGACTGTAAAGTGACGCCACAGCAGACGCGTAATCTTATCCGTAGCATCATGGGGAAGGATTCCGGTGAAGACCGTCTCAAGAATATGCTTCACGCTCTTCGGAAGCTTGATGGCAGCGATGTGCTCGTCATTCAAGACCAGTTTGACGTCACGTGCGGAGTTGTTATGCAGACAAAAATTCAAAAGATGATGTTTGAGCGGTGGGGGGAAACGTTGGCAATGGACTTTACGCATGGAACGAATAACCTGGGCTATCATCTGGGTACGGTTGACACAGCAACCTTACCTGATATAGCAACCCCCTGTAGCAACCTTAATTGATACAGTAGCCGTTGTGGCAACCTTATCCGCTATCGCAACCTTGCTGATCATCATGTATTTTCTTGCTGGTAGGGAGTTTGGTTGTCACCACATGCACGGGTCGTGGCTTCCCTGTGGTTGATTTCATTTGCCTCACTGAGCAAGCAAAGACGATCTCCACGATTTTGGAGTACTTCAAGGAGAAGAATTCGTGTTGAGATCAAGTCGTGAGCGTGGTCATTGATAAAGACTTCACTGAATGGAAGGTACTTGAAGAGTCCTTCCCCAACGCGAAAATTCTCCTTTGCCAGTCCACGCAATCTCCTACTGGAAGAAGATTATGAAGAGGTCTGTCTACGGAATTAAGACTGCGCAGAGTGAAGAGCTACTTGCCTTGATGGTGAAACTGCTTTTCAGGTATGTCGCCACGGTTCTTTCGATACACATATCTTATCTTACTTTCTGAACTAATTGTTATCTTAGCTCAACGCAGGATGCATACGAAACTTACTACAAGAACCTTCAATCGTACTGCCAAAGTAACAAAAAACTCGCTTTCTTTGCGTATTTTGACAAGAACTGGAACACATGCAATGACATGTGGTCCAACTTTGCACGTGGTAAACATTTTACTGCCGGCAACACAACTACCAACAGGATCGAATCTAATTGGAACCAGCTTAAGATGCTGCTCGGGCGTAAAACAAGAATTGACCAGACCATCGCTGGATTGCTGCAGCACCAGATGACTATCACGCAGCAGATTGTCTCGGAGATCGGGCAGCTGCACTCGAGTACACGGAGGCCTAAGTCGGTGCCGACGTTTTTAAGAGCAGTTGGGGGCAGAATATCAGCGTATGTTTTGGAGACAATTAGGCGGGAATGGGAGCAATTTGTGAATCTGATGAAGGAAACAACATGTGTACAGACATTATCGGTTTCGAAATGGAACGTATACTGTCACAACCAAGGATTTGAGTGCGATGACGTGGACTGGAAGTGCACCTGTCTGTTTTCAACTACCAACCACTTGCCGTGTCGGCATCTCATGCACGTAGCGCACATAGGACATGGATTCGAGATGCTTCCTGGTATAACAATTTGCGAACGGTGGAGTACAATGACAGCGTTGAAATCTACCGAAGCATTTACGGCCGCTGCTGATACTCTGAGTTCAATCGTGCGGATGTCGAAGTTAAGGTTGCCAAAGTTAAGGTTGCCCGATGAACCTTGTGTTGACCTTCCTACCTCGTCAGCGCCGAAGACGTCACCGAAACAAGTTGTGTATGTTCGCCTGCGACGACGGGAGCGTGCCAACAAGGTTGTTCTTTCTTCAGGCGAGAAGTATTCGCTTGCAAAGGCAATGGTTGAGCCGCTGCTGGAACATCTAGCCGACTTGAGCAGCGCAAACTTTTATGACGAATTACAGGCGTGGAAAAACACATTAGAAGAAGGACTGCGCCTTGGCAAATCACGTACGAAAAAAAGTGCTGTGTTTGCCGATCACGAAAATGGAGAAGTTGAAGAAGTTGAAGATCTCGATGATGATTTGAGTTCTATTCTAGATCCAGCAGACGCAATGGAAACTGTCAAACTGATGGAAGATCTGCAAATGGACAGCCAGGATGGCGCCATGGATAGTATCAACAGTGGTGATGACCCTCCAACACAACTCGCAAAAGAGCAAAAGGTGAAAAAGGTGAAGTCACCAACTCCACCTCGTGCCGCTAGCTTTGGTGAGCCGACTTCTGGCTCCAAAAAGTACGAGACGGGTGATGTTCGAGACGAAGGAGAGACAACTCGTCAAGTAGACGTTATCAATGTTCCAAAACCGATGCGCCGAAATCTGTCGCGTACCACGCCAACACAGCTACGCCAATGAAAGATTTCCCCAGGTGTATCGCGGCTAGCTGTACACAATTATCCCAGCGGGCTGTCAGTGAAGCTGCACGAATTTGTGACGTGGGCCCGCAATACACCAAACATGAAGAACATCCTGGCTATCATGCAAAAATACCCAGTGCAACTGACGGATGCCTATCTACGATCGCGAGTGATTGAGTGCCATTGGGAAGCTATGAGGTCTGAGGACAACATGCACCCTTTTGTAATTCCCGTGGATCTTACACGGTCAATGGAGGCTGCAATATGTACTGCACGGAAGGAGCAGCGCGAACCCGACAAACTCGACTCAACTGTGTCACAGAAAGGTGTTGTTCTCGACATTGTTGCAACAATTGACCCAAAGCTCTGGAAGTTCTGCAGGTACGGTTGCTTTATCGTTATGGTTGCTATACAGAGTTGTTTTATCTTTATGGTTGCGATACAGGGTTGCTTTACTAATGTGGTTGCTACTTCGATTACAGTCGATATGTAAATGCAGCAAGTGTTTTCTACAGAGTGAAGGCCAAGGCCAAGTCTTGGGTCGAAGATCGAAAGTGGCTGGAGAGAAATTGGATTAAGGTGGACTCGGATGTTGACCTTTTCGCAAAGGAAACAAAAACTTGGGGTGTTACACGAGAGGCCGTTCGAAATCGACATGAAGTCCTCGCTAATGAAGTAATTTCAAAGTTTTCAGACTGCCGTCTTCGCAGCGAGTACGCCACCAAGTGTGGCAAGGTCACCATTTGCTTCGAAGACGTGGCTGGAAGTGTTTGTCGAGGGTGGCTCTCGGACAGCTCGATCGACTTCTGCTTGAGTGAAATTGCTGCATCCACGGAGGGCTGTCGCGTGTTGTCATCGCTTCTATGGCAGATTGGCTGGCCGGCGACACCGCGGGTTCAGCTTCGCGACATAAAGTTTGTCGTACATCCCGTCAATTTGAGCGCTAGCCATTGGGGCATTATAATTGTTAACCTTGGGGTTTCAGACGGCCAGATCCACGCACGACCTCACATGTACGAACCTCTCATTAATAATTGCTATCACGGTGAAATGGAGACAGTTTGGGAGGGAAGTAAGCGTAACAACAAGGAAGGGCTGCGAGGATTTATTGAGCGCTGGAACGAGTCCTCCAATCCTGGCTGTGTTATGAAGATCCACCCAGTTTCGTGGGTGGACGCCCGCAGCAACCTGATAACTCCAGCTGTGGTGCCTTGGTAATTGCACATGCACACAGCGTTATTGCAGGGAATGCAGACCTGCATTGCTACAAGATCAGCAAGTCAGATGTCGACGTAATGCGCTTGAGGATGCTGTGGTTACTGCTTGTACAATCCCGCAAGCGACGAATGTCGAAGGCAGATGCGGACACGGCAGCAAAAATTCATCAGAGACTTCAGGATGAGCTGTAATAGCCATGTGAATTTGTATTCACAATTAATACAGCTACATATCGTTGACTAATTTCTTAACCGATTAATTGCCATCTCTAGCAGCACTCCAAAAGACATAACTCCGTCTTGACCGATGCCCACACCGTCCAAGTCATAATCCAAAGCGTATAGGCCTTCCTCGTTCTCTTCAATTCGAGCCATTAACTCCATCTGTACTCTCAGTATTTGCTCCAGTATCTCCCCGATCTCCTCCAGCTTGCGCTTTGTGTCCGTGAGCTCTTCTCGCCGTGCGCGTATCAGTTCGCTGGACAGCGATCTTTTATCCATCGTCGTGAAGCCTGTATATCGAAGTGTAAGAAATGTGTGGTGTACTCGCATGTAGTGTTGTGTACATATCTCTATTTTTAGACTTTGAGCATGTTATGCCTCGTAATTTACCGCTGAATTGATGACGATGGCGACGTGGGAGTGCAACAAATAATAAAATACCAGGACAAACATATGTTTTGAGGTTGCTTTAGGCGATATGGTTGCACTATTTCTTGTTGTGTTGTCGTTGTATGGTTGCGGTAACGCCGTTCGATATGGTCCGCCCTGCCGAATTGGAGGTGCACGACTGTACCTCCAATCTTGTAGCGCGTGTTTAAAGTGTTATACTGAAAATCTTTAGCTGGATAACTAAACAAGAGCTCATTTAAGCAAATCAAGAGTATACAGCCTCCATCACGGCTGCACACTTGCCTTGTGATGAAATCAGCTGCGTACTAGGAAGTTCCTAGGCGTGTGCAGGCCACAGATGACGTGAGACCTTTACATTCAGAGCGCCCTTCACCGGTAACGTCAGTGACAAATCATATGTCACTTCCTTGGGGCCAACTACCTCGACGTGAAATCTACTTAGTAGTCCAACGATAACCAGCTTCATCTCGAGCATGGCCAAGTTCATACCGAGGCACACACGAGGGCCAGCATTAAATGGAACTTGTAAGCCGAAACCGCGATGACTTTTCCGGAGGTGGAGTCGATTCATCGTTCGGGCTTGAATTCTTCAGCATCAGGCCCCCACACTTGCGTCATTCGACCCATAGAGTACGTTGCTAGACCGATTGCCGAACCAGCTGGGACAAACGTCCCAATCGGAGAGTGTCGTGTCTTCCCGTGCCTGCTTGGGCTCAAAAGGGACCGACGGATGCAGTCGAAGCGTCTCCTTCAATGCAGCTTCAAGATACACGAGCTCGCTAACATCCTGCATTGCAGGAGCGCCACCAGCTTTGAGCGTTGATAGCTTGTCTTCAATCTCCTTCCGAATAGCAGCCTCTACGCGAGGCTCATTCGAGAGGTTGACAAAGAACCAGCTCAGAGCTTGAGCGGTGGTATCACGCCCAGCAATGAGGAAGTTTACGACGATATTGCGCAAGTAATTCGGATCAAACTGGTGGCTCTTCGGCGTCTGGAGAGTTGTTCACTTTGTCAAGAAACAGTGACACGATGTCAGTCCCCTTCTTCTCTTCATCTTTTCCGTGAGACAGGGCCTTCTCTACTATATCCATCACGGTCTTGTCAATTACTTCAATGTCACGACGGAGCTGTCCTTCAACTCCTAGACCCAACCAGCGTTGAGTCTTTCAGAACCAACCTGGTCGTGTGAATCGAAATCGAAGAGCACGTTGAGCACGGTCAAATGATTTTTGGAATGGGTGCTCTTTGTCTGAGTCGAGACATCCCATGTGAACACCGAATCCAATCTCTGCGAATGCTTCGATGGTGAATCGGTTAAAGAGTTTGAAGAGATCTAGCGTATTGTGATTATCACAAGCACGTTGGAGGATGGCATAGAGAGTGACAGCATGACGCTGGATGACAGTTGTCATGGACTCTCGGAGAGTTCTCATAGTGAAGAGGTGACTGGCTGTTTTACGTTGATGCACCCACGGGTCTCCGTCGACTGCAAAGATTCCGTCACCCAAAAGATCTCGAAGGTTTTCGCACATGAACGGACCTTTTTCGAAATTGTGGAACTGGGTTTTCAACACATCCTCGAATGCTTCGGGGGTGAACAGGATAATGTTGCGAGGGATCCCAAGCGCTCGAATCACGATCGGCTCGGCGTTGAGCTGCTTGCCCAGTCGAGTGGTGAAGTCGTGCATGTCTCCTTTCACGCCATGGATGAGGAGATCCCAAGTATTTCCGATGAGTGGCAAAGTCGAGTCGGGGACATGGATCTTCGCTCTTTTGTCGGTGGACCCTCTTTTCGCGGTTTTGAGGCGAGAGGCAGCGAAAAGTAGAACCAGACTGCTAATTGCCACGATGACCAAATTTTCCGAAGATTTCTCGGTGAGTGTGGAGATCGGCAGCATCGTCACGTGAGCTCCACGCGTGACTTTCGGAAATGAGACCATTGGATTCAAATTTGAAAGGCCTGTAATTGAAGTTGACAAAAGGAGGATGGACCGCTTTCGATATGATGGCAACGGCGACTTGCCATAACCACGTTCCAGTAAGCACGTTGGCTCAACGACGTTGAAATTGCCGTTGGCGTGACTCACCACCTTGACTAGCGCATTAATAAAAAATAACATTTTGATAAAAATGATATCATTAAAAAATAATCGGTGAAAAGAGGGAGTGGACAAGTGACACAAAGCCTTCAATCGAATTAAGCATTGCCGAAGTCAACCAATTATTTATGCTCAAGACCTCTGTGTGTGAATAGTGTGAGGGTTTTCGCTACGCAATGAGCCGAAGCATTGGTATAGAAATTGTCGCTTTCTTAGGGGTGCTACTTCTTTGTTAGTATTTTTTTG